GTTACCTACAAGGGAATACCCATACGACTGTCAGCTGATTTCTCAACAGAAACTTTGCAGGCCAGAAGGGAATGGCAAGAAATATTCAAAGTGCTGAATACCAAGAACCTACAACCAAGAATACTTTATCCAGCAAAGCTATCATTCAGAATTGAAGGTCAGATAAAGAGCTTCACAGATAAGGAAAAGCTAAAGGAGTTCATCACCACCAAACCAGTATTATATGAAATGCTGAAAGGTATCCTTTAAGAAGAGGAAGAAGAAGAAAAAGGTAAAGATACAAATTATGAACAACAAATATGCATCTATCAACAAGTGAATCTAAGAATCAAGTGAATAAATAACCTGATGTACAGAATGAACTGGTGATTATAATAGAATCAGGGACATAGAAAGGGAACGGACTAACTATTCTTGGGGGGAAAAGGGGTGTGGGAGATGCGGGAAGAGACTGGAAAAAAAAAATAAAAAAAAAATAAAAGTATATTTAAAAATAAATAAAACTTAGAAGAAGTAAACATAGGAGTAAATATTGGTTACCATAGGTTAGGGTATGGTTTCGTAGAGATGATACCAAAGTATAGTCAATGAAGATAAAACAGTTGAACTTAATAAAAAAAAAACTGCTTCAAAAGACACCATCCAGGAAGTTAAAGAAAACCCACAGAATGAGAGAAAAGATTTGCAAATGATATATCTGATAAGGGCTTGTATCCAGAATATATAATGGTCTCTTATGAGTCAACAATAAAAAGGCAAATAACCTAATTCTAAAATGGACAAATGTGTTGAATAGATATTTCTCTAAAAAAGATATACAAATGGGCACTATACCCATGAAAATATATTTGATATCATTACCCATTATGGCAATGCAAATCACACCTCAATGAGATATCACTTCACATTCACTAAGATAGATTTTTCAAAAGACAGACAAGAACAAGTGCTGGTGAGAATATTAAGTAATTGGAACCTCATACATTGTTGGTGAGAATGTGAAATGGTACAGCCCCTTTTAAAAACATTTAGCACTCTGGTGTGGTTTAGTGGTTAGACTGTCGGCCCACAAACCAAAGGGTTGTAGGTTCGATCCCTGGCCCAAGCCAGGACACGTGCAAGAGGCAATCAATGAGTCTCTCTCACATCGATGTTTCTCTCTCTCTCCCCCTGCCTCCCTACCTTCCACTCTCTCTAAAAATTCAATGGAGCCCGACTGGCGTGGCTCAGTGGTTGAGCATCGACCTATGAACCAAGAGGTCATAGTTCGATTCCCAATCCAGGCACATTCCCGGGTTGAGGGCTCAATCCCCAGTAGGGGGCATGCAAGAGGCAGCCAATCAATCATTCTCTATCATCATTGATGTTTCTGTCTCTCTCTCCCTCCCACTTCCTCTGTGAAATCAATATTTAAAATATTTTTTAAAAAATAGAATTAAATTTTCCCTAGCTGGTTTGGTTCAGTGGATAAAACATCAGCCTGAGGACTGAAAGGTCCGGGGTTCGATTCCAGTTGAGGGCACATGCCTGGGTTGCAGGCTTGATCCCCAGTGGGAGGTATGTAGGAAGCAGAAGATTGATGATTCTCTCTCATCATTGATGTTTCTACCTCTCTTTCCCTCTCCCTTCCTCTCTAAAATCAATAAAAATATATATTAAAAAATTAAATTTAAAAAATGGAAAAAATATCCTTGGGTGAGGATTAACAAAATAAAAAAAAACATTTAGCAATTCTTCAAAATTTTAAACCTAGTTACCACATAACCCATTAATTATATTCATAGGTACACATACTCCAAATAATTGAAACATGTGTTCAAACAATAACTTTTTCACAGATGTTTAAAGCAGCATTATTCATAATAGCTAAAAATTAAAACAGCCCAAATGTTCATCAACTGATGAACAGATAATGAATGTGGTATACCATTTAATGAAGTATTATTGGGCAGTAAAAAGGGATGGAGCACTGATACATGCTGCAGCACGGGTGAACCTTCAAAACATTATGTTGAGTGAAAGAAGTTAGTCACAAAAGACCACATATTTTTATTCCATTTGTAGAAAATGTCCACAATAGCCAAATCCATAGATACAGAATGTAGATTAGTGGTTGCCAGTAACTGGGTTGGGGTAAAATAGTGGAGGAGGGGAATATTTAGTGTTTGCTAATGTACAGTGTTTCTTTGGGGCATGATGAGGATATTCTAAAACTAGAGGCCCGATACACGAAATTCATGCATCAGGCCTCTAGTATCTCAATAAAACTGCTATCTTAAAAAGCATGATTATTTCCATTTAAAGACAGAGTAGTCTCTCTGATGTGGAAGAGGTCTCCTGTAATCATTTTTTCCAAATTGATGACTGGTATCCCCTAGAAATGGTGCCATGTTAGGGGCTCAGCATTGGTTCTGTACTCAGCTGTGACAGTAGTTAGATAAGGTTGGTAAGGGGAGTCAATATTGTTGAGCTTTTGCATAGCTCTATTCCTCCTTCCATGTCCACTTTGCACATGGGCTCATTGAGCACACTGGGATTGCTGTGAGGAAAGGCTGAATGATATCTACAGAAATGGTCATTTTTTTTCTCCCAGTTATTCAGTTTCCTCTATAATGGATGCCCTCAGTGGGTACATTCACTATCTGAATAAGTATGGGCTATGTAGAAGGGAATATGGACTGGTAGCCTTTAGATCCCAAGATCCCCCTACTGAATGAATGGGGTTAATCGCATTATAAAAGAGATACCAGAGAGCTCCCTTGCCCCTTCTGCCATGTGAAAACATCTGTTAATGAACCAGGTATCAGGCCCTCACCAGACACCAAAATGCTGGCACCTTAATCTTGGACTTCCCAGACTCCAGAACTGTGAGAAATAAGTGTTTGTTGTTTTAGCCACACAGTTGGTGGTATTTTTGTTATAGCAGCCTGAATTAAGACATCCAATTGTTCTAGCATCACTTGTTGAAAAATCTATCGTTTCCTGAATTACTTTGGGACCTTTTAAAAAATGAATTGACTATATACCTATGTGCCTTTTTCTGAACTGTTTTAGTCCACTGATCTATATGTCTAGCCTATGCCAATACTACATAGTTTTGATTACTGTAGCTTTATAGTCTTGAAATCAGTCAATGAGTCCTCTAACTTTGTTCTTCATATTACAAATATTTTGGTTATCCTATGTCCTTTGTTTTTCCATATAACTTTTAGAATCCTGTTTTGCTGGAATTTCTATTGGGATGGTATTGAATTTATAGATCAGTTTTGGAGAGAATTATCATATTAACACTATTCAGCCTTTAGTCCATAAGCGGTATATCTCTTTAAACTCAGGACTCCTGATTCAATCGTAATTTATTAAGTAAATGTGTCAACTACACTGTAAGGAATATAGAATGAATAAGAAAAGTCTATTTTGCCCTAACTGGTTTGGCTCAGTGGATAGAGCGTTGGCCTTCGGACTGAAAGTTTCCAGGTTTGATTCCAGTCAAGGGCATGTACCTTGGTTGCGGGCAAATCCCCAGTTGGGGGTGTGCAGAAGGCAGCTGATCGATGTTTCTCTCTCATCGATGTTTCTAACTCTCTATCCCTCTCCCTTCCTCTCTGTAAAAAAATCAATAAAATATATTTTTTTAAAAAAGTCTATTTTGAGAAAGGAATATACTGGTTGGTTAAATAAAAATGTCTCACATTGAGAGTTTTTAATATTTTCAAGAGCACTATTACCCTTTCAGTTGGAATTGGTTTGGAACAGGAAGGGATATTTTCAGCTTGGGACTCAGTTGTGTAACCCTCAGTTCTGTGTGGACAAGTCTCTTGATTTTGTATAGCAAGCAAGCCAGAAGACATTTTAGAAAGCAAGCACACTAAGAAAGGCATGTAAATTTAGATATGGTTTCCCTGGGGTACTGCAGTGTGGTGTTTAGTTCAAATCACCATCCATTGCCTGGTCCATACATTACTCTCAGGACACAGCCCCCAGTGGACCCAATATATCTAAGTCTTATGAAGAGAAAAGATATTATAAACAAATATATAATGAACTAAAAATAGTAATGACTAATTTGCTATGAACTATGTAATACAGTGGGGCCCAAGCAGCCCCTGGGCAGTATCACCTGAGTAGGTATAACTCTGAAATTGGGGCATGAGCTTTATCCACACTCCTGTAGGAGTCAAACAGGGGTTTTGGCCCTTTGAAGACTATAGGGAATCAGAGGACCTTTGTCACCATGAGGACTCCATCATATCAATAGCTGTCAGCAGAGGGTATATGGTAATATCCAGAGAAGGATGGTACCTCTTCTCAGCTACTTGGATTTGTTCCTGGGCACAGGTCAACTCTCCCCTAAGTGTCTGACAGGATACAGGTTACTTCTACTGCAAAGGAGCCAGCCCAACACAGCTCACATAGTACCTCATTTGATCCACTCAGCAGTTGTTAAAACCACCAGATTGATTCCTCTAGCTATGAACCCTAGAGATAATGTGTTTTACTTATCATTTTACATTCTGACAAGAATTTTAAGCATTTTCATTGCCCTCATAAATTCACTGAACATTTCGATGGTTTATCATGTATTGATTTCCTCATTTTGTTTTCTTTTTCAGATTTTTTTGGATTTTTTTTATTATGACAAACATAATCCATATCCTTTAGGAAAAAGTGGAGATTAGTGAGCAAAGCAAAGAAAAAGAATCACAGATGGAGTCATAGAGCAGTACAGGACCCAGGATATGGGACATCAGTGCCCACTGACATTGTTACAACTAGGGGATGACATAGGGATGGTCATGTCCACAGAGGAATGGCATGGAGGTACCTAACCATCAGGTGACTGGACTTATTTTTGAGTATAGGCAAGACCTCTTTTTGGCTACCATGCAGGAAAAACCACCACCTGCTTTTTAGTGTATACATTTTCAGAGTCTTCTCTGTGCATAAATGCATTATGCAAACATATTCACATTTTTACAAAATTGGGCTGGCACTGTAGATTTGGTTCTAAAAACAGTTTTATTGTTTTACAAAGTACCATGACCTTCTCTTCCATGCACATGAATGAAAATCCAGTACTGAAACAGAGAGCACTGTATATTGGACCAAAAGGTGGCTGGTAACAAGAATGGCAGACACCTACAGCAAAGTATCAGCTTAAGGTTAAAGCACATTGCCTGGAAAATACCCTCCCCGCTCCCTGCCCAAGGGAAAGCAGGGTTGGAATATTCTTATCAGAGAAATCAGAATTGAAGTCCAAGGGCTTTAAAGATATGGGATATTATGTACACCCCTTTGGCTCCTACCTCCACCCCTCATTCCCCTGACACCCCATTGGCCCCTTGGGAAGAATGGATCCTGTACATCTCTTTGCATCCAGTGAAAACTACCTGTTTTCTGTCTTTTCCTTAGCTCTTCCTGAGCCCTTGACACATCTCCACATTCTCTCATCCTCTCCTCAATGCCCAAATGCCTTTTCTGTAAGTCCTCCTGATAGTCCTTGAGGGAATCATCCGTCCACCTGTCCGTTTTTTGCTTAGCTTTCCGGGGCACATACTCTTCAGCCGGGCGTTTTTCGGCAGCTCGCAGCTGGCTCTCTGGCTTGGCCTGGGGTTCTGGCTTGCCCTCACTGCATGCTTTCCCCTCACCTTGGGACTTGCTCTGCTTTTCTTGTTTCCCCGCGTCATCTAGCTGTCCTTGGTCTTGGAGCTTTTCCTCTTGCTCTGGCTTCCCCTCCACTTCTGGGTTTTCTTTCCCGTCTGACTTTCCTTCATCTTCTGTATCTACTTCATCTTCTGGCTTTCCCTCGATTTCCAGCTTTTCTTCATTTTCATTATAGAATTTTTCCATATTGAGATGTTCCCTCCCTTTCCTGTACTAGGAATGGGGTGGGGTGGGGGAGGAGGAGAGAAAGAGAAGACAAGGAAGAGTGAGGACTGGCTCAGATAGTACTGGCATCTGGCCCATGGCCAGGGTTCCCCTGAGCTGGCCTTCTGCCACACTTTTCCCCACTGTACACACAAGAGCCAACCATTTCTCTGGCAAGCCCTGGTATCTTCTGTACCATCCTTCAGTCTGATGGGGTGTGTTTATATTATATGTGGAGGTGAGCCCTCAGATTTTGCCCAAGCTGTGTCCTCCACACTCACACACCCCACTTCAGTGCCCCACCCCCACTTCACTGACCTGCAGGGATTCTGGACAGGTTTTTCCTTTCTGTGTCTAGCAGAGTGCTGGGGTCAGACACACAGACCTGCAGACAGACAAGAAACCGGGGCAGTGGCTGTGCGCTCAGTGGACTGGTGTTCCTTTCCTGAATCCGGGCGCTCCACATCCAACGTTGCCCTCCCCTACCTGCCCCGCACCCAAGTGGCCATATCGCTTTTCAGGCCTGGGGCACCAGATCAGGAAGCTTTCCAAACTGCTTGTGCTTCTGTGTACCCCTACCCTGCAGTTAACCCACCCCACCCTCACCCCTTTTTCGTGGAGGTCAATATTTCCTCACAGGCCCAGTGTGAGGTGGGGTGGGTGGGGAGGGAGTTATTTCCAGAATATGCCTACGTTTCACTGTCGCACTGCGGTACGCGCCCCCTCCCATATTGGGCTCGAAAATGGATGGAGGGCTCAGAGGTGGGGCGTTGAGGAGGTGGCGGGGCCCGTGATGGGGTCTTCTTTTCTCACCTGCCTGCGCCAGCGCCAGCGCCAGGTTCACCTCCTCCCCCATCTCCGCGATTCTTTAGCTTCCCCATCCCACCGCTGTTCTCCATCCTCGCATCCACCTTCACCCCAACCGAGGCCGCTGGCAAGGCCCACCGGCACACTCACCTGCGGGCCCGGGCCAGGCCTGCGCCTCCTCAGGCTCATGGAAGCCCACTCTCCCCTCGCCTGCTGCCAGGGCATCTCAGGGAGGTGGCACCCCACAGGCAAGGGGAGCGAATGGCACTGGGATTTGTCTGGGGGCGGGTGCTGCTGCCCACGTGGGCACTCGGTGGATCACGTGATCGTCGCATCACCCCCAACTAGAACCCCCCCTCACCCAAATCCTGGGAGACCTGGCTGCTGCAGACCGGAGGTGGTAGTGGGTGGGGGGAGGGAGGCGGGTGATGGCCATGGGGGTACTCACTGAAACTTTTCTCCACATCCTTGACAGCAGGAGGAGGCAGCTTTCTGCCCGCAGGTTCTTTACCTGGTGCATCTCAGGTCCTCGCCCACCATCCCTGTGAGATACCCATTATCTCCAGGTGTGACAGCTAATCACAGGGAGGGTACCCTACATCACTAAGAGTGCTCAGCAACTCAGCCCCACAGCCCACTTTCAAGACCAGCTGTGCCTGACTGGAGTCTGGTGGTGGTGCCCGCCAGAAAGTTGTGCTGCCACTTTAAGTAAGGTGTTTCTGAGCCTCCTCTCTTCTCAGTCCACATGTTCTCTCCCTGAGTTACCTCTGTTCATTTTCCTCCAAGCACAGAAGATTCCCAATTTAATTACATCTCCAGGCTAGTCCCTCCCCTGAGGCTCAGATCCGTTTTTTGCTTTCCCACTAGCAATACAGGAGTGTGTTTCCCCACACCCTTTCTACCATGTATGTCACTTTTTAATTTCCACTAAAATGATAGAAGTCTCTCAATTGCATTTTATTTTGATATCATTGTAAATTGTATGTACATGTCTTTCCACATATTGCTATTGGGTGGTTGTTCTTTCTCCCCTCATTTTCAAGTGTTCTTTATACATTAAATAAGGCTAACTGGCTTATTTCAGGTCCATCCATACTGTCTCAAAGAGTAAGAGATCCTTCAATTTTACAGCTGCATAATATTCCATTGTGTAAATGTACCACAGCTGTTTTACTAGTATATACTCATCTACTGATGGGCACTTGGGCTGTTTCCAGATCTTACCTATTGTAAATAATGCTGCTATAAACATAGGGGTGGATATATTCTTTCTAATTGGTGTTTCAGGATTCTTAGGATATATTCCCAGAAGTGGGATGGCTGGGTGAAACAGCGGATCTATTTTTAATTTTTAAGGAATCGCCATACTGTTTTCCATAATGGCTGATGTCTGCATTCCCACCAGCAGTGTACTAGTGTTCCCTTTTCTCCACATCCTTGACAGCACTTTTGTTTGTTGATTTATTGATGGTAGCCATTCTGGCAGGTGTAAGATGATACCTCATTGTAGTTTTAATTTGCATTTATTTGACGATTAGTGACTTTGAGCATTTTTCATGTGTCTATTGTCTGCCATACATTTTAATATGTAGTCAAATTTATCACACTTCTTTGCATCTAGATTTTGATTCATACTTAAGAACTTTTTCTACATGAGGTCAAAGAGGAATTTACCCATATTTTCTTTTATTTGTCTTGAGGGTATCTGTTAATGAATAAAGGTTAAGGAGTAAACCAGCACCAAACTGAGTTGAATCTAAAGCTGACTTAAGGTACTAGAGTTAACAAAAATCAACACCAAACCCTGACCAGTTTGGCTCAGTGGCTAGAGTGCTGGCCTGTGGATTGAAGAGTCCCAGGTTTGATTCTGGTCAAGGGCAAGTACCTTGGTTGCGGGCACATCCCCAGTAGAGGGTGTGCAGGAGGCAGCTGATGGATGTTTCTCTCTCATGGATGTTTCTAACTATCCCTCTCCCTTCCTCTCTGTAAAAAAAAAAAAAAATCAATAAAATATATATTTTTAAAAATCAACACCAAAGGCCCACTGAAAGAGAAGTTTCCTAACAAACTGTCACTCATATAATGCTGGGAACCAAAATGTTGTTTCAGGTTAAGGGTAATTACAAACTGGAAATAAACTAGCCCTCAGAAAGTCTTTAAGCTTGGTTTTGCAACATGTAGGTGGACTCTGAACATAGATTATGGTGGTTCCATATAGGAATCACCCTTACTGGACTAGCAAACAAAATCTTCTCTGGAGTAAAATACTGTTAACTTATTTCTCAAGTTATTTCAATAAACAAATGTTCATGTACAATGCTGACGCCCAAAAATAACCAGAAACACAAAGAAAAAAGACATAATTACGTGAGAAACAGTAGAGATAACAGGTAACAGATCCATTAGGTTTGAATTATTGGATACAGACTATTAAACCATAATGCTCAGTGCAATACACAGTCTCATAACATAGAAATCCACATCTGACCCTATCAACCAATGTCAACCCAATAAATTTAATGAAAATAAATAAAAACAACAAAAATACTTAGTGTATTAAAATCCAATCTTGAAATTTCAACAGATAACTAGAAGCAAAAAAAAAAAAAAGAGGAAATTCTAAAACTAAAAAATAACTTAGCTGAAATTGGAATCTCAATGGATAGCCTTAACAGCCAAATAAATACAGCTCAAGAAAGAATTAGCTCTTGCTGGTGTTTTTCAGTAGTTAGAGTCCAGACTGCTGCACCAAAGCACTTTGATTCCTGGTCAAGGGCATGTACATGAGTTCCAGGTTCTTCCATCCCCAGCCCATTGCAGCATGTGCAGGAGGCATTCAGTTGATGTGTCTCTCTCACATCAATCAATCTCTCTCTCTCTCTCTCTCCCGCTCCCACCCTCCCACTCTCTCTAAAATATCAATGAGAAAAATATCCTCAGGTGAGGATTAACAAAATAAAGAAAGAATTAAAGGACTTGAAATTATATTCAGAAGAAACCATCTATAAGGCTGAACAGGTAGTAAAAAAAGATGTAAAATACATATGAGAGGGTATAATAAGGTCTAACATGCTTTGTTTTATTGAATTTATTGGAGTGATATTGGTTAAAAAATTATACAGGTTCCAGGTGTACAATTCTATAATACATCATCTGTATATTATAATGTGTATTCACCACCGAAGGTCTAACCTATGTTTAATTAGAGTTCTGAAAGGAAAAGAGAAATTGAAGTGTTCAGAGGCAATGTTTGAAGATATAAAGGCTGCGGATTTTTCAGAACTGATGAAAGACATTGATCCATAGATCCAAGAAGTCCAACATACCCCATACAGAATAAATAAAAAGAAACTCATGCATAGATGTATAATACTGAACTTGCATAGAATCAAAGACAAAGACAAATAACAAAAGTAGCCAGAAAAAATAAGAGTATGCCTTGAAAAGAACAAAAGTTGGGCTGATTTCTGGCTTCTTGACAGCAACAATGGAAGCATGAGGTTGGTGGAATATCTTTAGTGTCCTGAAAGAAAATAAATGCCAAGAAATTGATAACCAGCAAAAATACCCTTCAAAAATAAAGGTGAAATAAAGACCTTTACAAATAAATAGAAACACACAGAGTTTGCCAGCCACAGGCATGAACCAAAAGTAATACTAAATGATACAGGGAAACTGGAAAATGATTACAGATGGAAGACTGAAGATGAAGGAAGGGATAAATAGCAATTAAAGGGATAAATATCTATGCAAGTTTAAATTAATGCTATATAAGACAATAATATTATCTTATTAATGCAAGTTGAAAAAGAATGAATCAAAAGGTCTGGAGCAAAACTATTTAAGTTCCAGCACTGCCAAGCCTGTGTGGCTCAATTGCTTGAGCATAGTCCCATGCACTGAGAGGTGCTGGTTCGATTCTAGGTCAGGGCACATTGCCAGGTTGTGGACTTGATCCCCAGTAGGGGGCAATGTTTCTCTCTCATCATCGATGTTTCTCTCTTTACATCTCCCTTCCTCTCTCTGATATCAATAAAGACATATTTTAAAAAAGAAATGTAGCCCTAGCAGGTTTGGCTCAGTGGATAGAGTGTCAGCCTGCAGACTGAAGGGTCCTGGGTTCAATTCCAGTCAAGAGCACGTACCTCAGTTGCAGGCTTCTCCCCTAGCCAGGGCCCTGGTAGGGCGTGTGCAGGAGGCAACCAATCAATGTGTTTCTCTTACATCGATGTTTCTCTCTTTCTTTCCCTCTCTTCCACTCTCTCTAAAAATCAATGGGAAAATATCCTTGGGTGAAGATAATAAAACAAAACAAAACAAAAACAAAAAACAAACAAACTGAAAAACAACAATAATAAAAAAGAAATGTAAAAATATTTTGAACTAAATGAAAAAAATCACAATTTGGGGAATGTAACAAAAGTAGTGCTTCATGGGAAATTTCTAGCTTAAATGAGAAAAGAAGAAAGATCTAACATCAATAACCTAAGCTTTCTCTTAAGAAACTAAAGAAAGAAGAATAATTTAAGCCTAGAGCAAGCAGAAGAATGAAATAGAGAAGAAAAAAATGAAAGTAAAAAAAAGAAAATTAACAAAACATTTCTGGTTCTTTGAAAAGATAAATGAAATTTATAAATCTCTTGCCAGGGTAACCAAGAAAAAAGAAAGACCTAAATTAACAATACCAGAAATTAAGGTGGGATCATCACTCCTGATCCCATGGACATTAAGATAATGAAGGAATACTGTGACTAACTCTATGCCTACATATTTGATAACTTAGGTGGGTCGGCAAACTGCAGCTCGCGAGCCACATGCGGCTATTTGGCCCCTTGAGTGTGGCTCTTCCACAAAATACCGACTTCTGCGCATGGGCCACAAAGTTTCAATCGCACTGTACATGCGCGCCCGCACGTAGTATTTTGTGGAAGAGCCACACTCAAGGGGCCAAAGAGCCGCATGTGGCTCCCGAGTCACAGTTTGCCGACCACTGACTTAGGTGAAATGAACCAATTTCTTGAAAGACAAACTACTAAAACTCACACAGAAATAAATAACTTGAATAGCCATCTGTTTATTAAAGAATTGAATAAATAATTAATAACCTTCCAAAGATAGGCATCATCAGGACCAAATTCTACCAAATATTTAAGGATCACCAGTGAACATTTAAAATATTTTTTAATATATTTTATTGATTTTTTACAGAGAGGAAGGGAGAGGGATAGAGAGAAACATCGATGAGAGAGAAACATCAATCAGCTGCCTCCTGCACACCCCCTACTGAGGATGTGCCGCAACCAAGGTACATGCCCTTGACTGGAATCGAACCCGGGACCCTTCAGTCCGCAGGCCGACACTCCATCCACTGAGCCAAACCGGTTAGGGCCACCAGTGAACATTTAGAAATCAGTGAATTCTACTAACCATTAAGGAAGAAATAATACCAATTCTCTACAATCTCTTCCATAATTTAGAAGTAGAGAGAACATTTGATTCATTCTATGAGGCTAGTATTACCCTAAGTCCAAAACCAGATAAAAAACAACACAAAAAAGGAAAACTACAGACCAATTTCTTATAAACAGACACAAAATCCTCAACAAAATATTAGCAAATCAAATCCAACAATGTATCAAAAGAATCATACACCTAACAGAGGAACTTATTCTAGGTTTCCAAGGCTGATTCAACATTTGAAAATTAATCAATATAATCCATCATTAACAGACTGAAGAGAAATCATATGATCTTATCACTTGATGTATAAAAGGCAATTGATAGAATCCAATACACTTGCATGATCAAAACTCTCCAACTAGAATTAGGGGGGAACTTCCTCAATTTGATTTTTTTTAAATCTACAAGAAGCCTACAACTAGTATCATACTTGACGATTAAAAAGAGGACACTTCACATAGCAATATCTTTACTGATATACTCCTAGGGCAATGGGAACTAAGGAGAAAATAAACAAATGGGACTACATCAAAATAAAAAGCTTCTGCACAGCAAAAGAAACCATCAACAAAACAACAAGAGAGCCCACTGCATGGGAGAACATATCTGCCAATGTTATCACCGATAAGGGTTTAATCTCCAAAATTTACAGGGAACTCATAC